TTACTGCTTAACATTTTCGGTGATACTGAGAGTGCATGGGAGTGGTTTTTCACTTGACAACTCGATTTTAGTCAGAAAATATGACCATGAAATTTAAGGTTTTGGGGACATATCGGTCACTTCCGGTGGCACCTTGAAACTTCCGGTTTGGACGACTACGTGTCCAGATAGCTTTTGACGAGCCGAGACGATTTCATTAATCACTTTTTGCGCTGAGACCAATATTTTCCGAGATATGGCCCAAAACAGTCATTTTTGGTCAAAAACTGCCGTTTTTCATCACAAAAATCGACCGGGCTTCACTTTAATCTTGTCGCACAGCCCAGGGACTTCGCGGTTATCTTCCCAGATACATTCCGCACCGAAACCGAGATAGCCGTCTCCTGGGCAACGCCTTGTCCGGTCCCCAGGGGTCCAAAAGTGTCAAAATTGCCTCATAGACCCAACTTTGACCGTTCCTAGGGGGTGGAAGGGGTGCCGATGGGCCAAAATGGCCCCGGCAGCTGTTCTTAGGATATCTTCAAGTACTTGAAACGGAGTCTACTTTTTCGATCCCAGATTTTCACTCCACCTTACCGGGCAGCTGTCGGCGGCCTGTTACCGAACCCCGGCCCCCGGAGTGGGAGTCGGAGTGCTTGCTCCCTTGGCCAGAGAGAGGTCGCTGGGAGACGAGCTCGGCGAAGGCAGGTGCTGGAGTCGGTGCTCCAGTGATGATCAAAAGTTTCGCGTCTGTCTGTCTGTCTGTGCACTGCAAACATAGGTGTGTCAATACAACACACTTCGTGTGTTTTTTTTTCTTGTAGTCACTTATAACACAGAATTTGGTGAGTTACTTTAAAACGCTCCACATGTGTTAAATTGACATGGAGTGTGCGTTAAATTGACACGGAGTGTGTGTTTAATCGACACACTGCAAGCGTGTTGTGAACCAAAAAGTAATCCAGTAAGAATGTGTTAATTTAACACAGAATTAATGTGTTGAAATACAAATAATATCTGCACAAAATTAATATGGTTGCATATTTTATTACTTATTAGCTAAACAGAAGGGTAGAACCAGTATATAGGTTGAATAAAGTCAATAAAATCAGTCAAATATTTAAAAATACAACTACAGATGCAAAGTAAGACACAACATTTCACTTGATATTTCACACAAGATAATCCTTTTTGAAACATTTGTACGATATAGGCACACTAACTTTCAATTTAAAAATAAACTCATCAAACAGAGAAAAGAAACTTTTGTACGCAGTCGGATATGTACGGTCAAGTCCATGATAATATGCAGTCAGTGCCAGCATACATTTCTCAACAGAAGGGCTCTCAATCTTGAATTTAGTATCATCCGCAATTATGAAAGCTACTGCAATAGTGTTGTCTGCAATGTACACAACTAATCTAGCCCCTTCATTTTGGTTGCTTGACAAATCATTACCAAGAGGAGTCAATGCCTGCAAACAATAACAAAATAAAATGTTAGTTTTGACTCTATATGATGCTACAGTAAGATTTCAGAAATGTGGTACTATGATAGCAGAAAACTTACATCTTTCATAGTCACAAGAGCAGGAAACATTTTGGGAATGTTCTTGGGTTTCAAACGGTTGTAGAGAGCCATTACAAACTTTAATTTCTCTTCATCCGTTTCCCCATAAGATTCATTTAACTTAAGCGATACTTTTTCCAATAAGCATTTGACTTTCTCAAAAAGCAATTCTATCTTATCAATGTTAGGTAATCTCAAAGTTAATTCTTGTAAAAGCTTTGTTAAAAAAAAAAAGTAATACAATAACAAGAAAGGAAGACTTATACTGCAGAAATATTTTACAAGGAAGCTCAACTTACCAGTTCAACATTTTTAAGATGAGGAAATCTTGCAAGGATGTCAGATGGTCTTGCTGATTCAGAGGCAGAAGATATCGAACGTAGACGAAGGGGATAAGAATCCTTCATGAGCCGTCTGACGTGTGGTGTGTCCCCAACGGCATCAAGTTTCCCCAGCTCAGCATCCATCATTTTCATGTCTTCGTCAGTTAGACCATTGCTGCAAATAATAAGAAAATGCAACCAAGTTAATGATTTCAAAAATAGCCATCAGAAAAGAACCTTTAGAAAAGTAACATGTTTTGATTTAAGTTACCTTTCTGACTCAGGCAGAGAAAATTTTAAACGCTTGGAAGGTGGTGGTTTAACTGTACTCTTGTCATCCGAGTTCTCAAGACCATTCTTGGCCTTCTTTTCCCTGGACCTAGCATTTCGTACGTACTGGCTAAGCAAGGAGCACACAATACCCTAAGAAAAAAATAGTATCTTAGTACGATTAACCAAAGCATAAACAATTGCAGGCAGAATAAAAAAAAACTTACATGTGGTCGAGGGGCAGTAGTGTCAGCTAGGCTTGCGTGCCTTGATATTATCGCTCTCCCCACAGCATCATAGTCCGCTTGCGTGGGAGCATCATCACACCAAGTCCGAATGGCATCACCATAGAACTTAATAAATGGTTTAGAGTCACTCGATATCACACTCTCCAACGACTTAAGATGCTCAGTAAGAGGTGGGAGAGAAAAAGGTCGTGATGCTGGTGATGAAATCTACAGACAGAAAGCAACAAGTTACCAATACGTTCGACTATTACATGGCAGATACAATTGCAGAAAAAAAACTAACCTCTTTCATAGAAGATCTCTTGCGAGAGCTGCCAGGAAAAGATGCAG